ACCCCCAGCCCTCCCTCCCCCCTTCGTTCCCTTTCCTTCCTGATCTTGGCAGTGTGTGAAGAGTGAAGAGTCAGACCTTTCTCACCCACACAAACCATCAATGTTTGCCTGCCAGGACAGAGAAGGAGCTGCAACATAACAGCAGCCTCCTACGCACTCTGCCTCCAAAGTGTAATAGCCAGAGAGATGGAGGTGAGGAGGGGGGGGGGGGGGGGGGGAGCTGCTGAAGAAGGAGGGGAAAAAAAGAACAAAAGGACCAGGACACCAGATTACAGGTGGTTTTATACAGAGACAAAAACTGAAGTATCTGTGTGTCCTTCTGTCTGTGTGATGTTCTGAATATTCACGTACAGTTTACAGTATCAGACGGGTTTTACCTTTGATACTTTCTTTCTGACTATTTACTTGTCTGACTTTCAGTCTACATTAAATGACTATGTACCAACCTGAGCAACTCTTTACCTATTTCTATTGTACTTGTTTAACTAAGTCTGACCAACTATGTCTGTCTGTCTAGCAATTTTCATATCTGACTACTTACCTATCCGACTATCCTTACATACTTTCTAGTAATTTGTCTCGATACATTTACAATGACGATCAACTACAGTAGAACAGTAGAAAGAAAAGAGACATTTGATCGAATTTACACCAACTCCTGCGTTTACAAGGTTTTTATTCAGATATATAAGAGCTAGAGTTCCATAAAGACAAAAAAGAAAAACAGTTTGGTGCACTGTCCTACTAAGTCTTCCTAACTACGTCTGTCTAACTCTGTCTAACTACGTCTGTCTAATGAAGTCGGCCTGAACCTTTCCAAGGAAGTCTGTCTACATCTGTCTGACTAAGTCTGACTAAGTCTGACTAACTAAGTCTATCAAACTAATTCTGTCTAACTACGTCTGTCTAACTATGTCTATCAAACTAAGTCTGTCTACATCTGTCTGACTAAGTCTGACTAAGTCTGACTAACTAAGTCTATCAAACTAATTCTGTTTAACTAAGTCTGTCTTACTGACACAGTCTGTCTAACTACTGGACAATCCATTAAATTCAATGTAAAACAAATACTGCAGTATTTAAAGTTGTGCTGCCTCCTCCTGGATATTGAAAGTATATGTTAGTCCGAAACTCGGATTTCCGTTCTGCCTGCACGACTTTTAGATTTGTGCTTGCATTATTCCACGCTCGTCCTTGACGAATCCTTTACCAACTTTCTCTCAGTGGAGTCAAGCCCCCCCCACCTCACCTCTCCCCCACTCTCCCTCTCTCTCCCCCACTCTCCCTCTCTCTCCCTCTCTCTCCCTCTCTCTCTCCCCCCTCTAATGAATTCATGCATTCAGAGCGCCGACCTGTCATTAAGAGAAAGAGAGGCCTCCAGGGCCCAACTAGCTGCTCCGACCGACTACAGCTATCACACACTGCTTACAATTAGGCGGGCGTACGACCCCGGCAGTAAGAGAACGGAGCAGTGAGAGATCGTTACCCCAGAGAAAGGAAGACGAGAGAGAAAAGTGGTTAAATAAACAGGAGAGACGAAGAAATCGCTCCAAAAGCAGTGGTTGTGGTTAAACGCTGGCGTTGGTGTTGAGTGTGAAAGGCTTGAATTGATTGGCATTTTTAGTTTCAACCGTACTAAATATTTATGAAGCAGCGCTTACTTAAAAGGTGGACAAATGGGAGTGTGTGTGTGTGTGTGTGTGTGTGTGGCAGAGAGAGAGAGAGAGAGAGAGAGTCTGGAAGTTTCTGTGAGAGTGTTGGTCAGTAAGAGACAAACAAGTGCTTGGACTGAACACCACTGAGGACATGGGGGGGGGGTTATGTCCTTGAGTATCGATGTTTTCGGTGCGAGTCCTCGTTTTGTATTCCAGTAAAAGTCAATTTCAGGAATTTCTAAAGTTTGATGCTGGACCACAGGAACCTCTGGAGAGACTGATTAGATACAGTACGTACTCTCGGACTCATACACAGGACGTGGTCCCCTGTTGTTGTTTTTTTTCTGCATCACCACATTTTGTAGATAGGACTATTGTTGTAGAACATACACTGATAAAACATATTTACAGAACTCTGTGTTATCCACATTAAAAGGAGTAAAAGACTGAATGTGGGAAAATCCACTGTGAGGTGAAAACCTGACATTTAATCACTCTGATTTTCCTCATGTCTGACGTCTTTGCTCTGCCTCCATCTCTCTCTCTGCCTTACACTGACTTGTTACAGTTACTGCACTGACAGCAGCAAGTCCCCTCTTGCACAGCTGACACTTTATTTTCACTCCCTGCTGAAAAATGGTGACTTTTTCTGGAAATTCTGCAGGAACAGATAAAGACTTTACGGTGGAGTCTTTTTCTACACTGATTCACTTCAAAACACTTTTTTTTTGAAGATGAAGATACTAAAAGAACAAGATGCTGAGAGCTAAGAGTATTAATCTTAATTAATAATTAAAAGACTTGAAATTAGACAGAGGGGGGGGAGTGTAGGGAGGTGATGGTAGCAGCAGCAGCAGCATCGTGTTTTTTTTTTACTCTCACATGCAGGATTTGTTCCAATAGCACAAAGCAACATCATGGAGGTTAGATGATTCTTTTGGGCATTTTGACACAGCACAAAGCTTGGTGAAATGAGTGTGAGAAAGGACGAGGGCAGCAGCAGCAGCAGCAGCAGCAGCAGCAGCAGCAGCAGCAGCAGCAGCAGCGTCTCTGTAGTGCAGCTGCGTGGTTTTGTCTCTCTGTCCTCTCCTTGGATCACACACACCACTGTCTTTCTTCATCTACAAATGAGGTCAAACCCAGTCCTATTCCAAACAAGATGGTGACAAACGCCTGACATGTTTGAACCAAACGTAGTGATTGCTTCCAAACCCACAACGCTAACGCCGAACAGATCGTTTACAAAGGATTCAGAGAATCACGTGCCGGTGGCTGACGATGTGGATGCAATTTGTACTCAGTTGCGACTTATATATTAAATTATATAATTATCCAAAAGACTCCAATAGAAAGAAATCCTAAACATGTGGAGTACATGTGAATGAGGAATAAGGATTCAGCCACTAGAGGGCACTCTAGACTTGCGACTCTAGAGGGCAATTGTGCAACGTGTTTTTTCTTCTTCATGATGCATTTTCTGGCTTGTGCGACCTCTGGATCTGGAGCGACTTATAGTCTGGAAAATATGGTACTCACTGGTTTTAGTATCATTATAGCCTTTATGTACAAAATCTGTTTTGAAAAGGCAGAATATTTTTGACTAACAGGGATTTTCACAAAGTTCTACACTGATCTTGAATCTTTAGGAGGTGATATCTTTATATGTTCGCCGCTCCGACCGACCTGCAAATTCGATCTGTCTCGGAAAAGGAAAAGTCATTTCATGTGTTTTAACACATTCTCTGTCCTGTTGTTTTTCCGTGGCTGCACCGTGAGAGGAGAACACATGAACACGCTCTCTGTTAGACATCACGTTAAATCATGTTAAATTCTGGCAAACACCTGATTTGAACATCAGAGGTGTGGAGTGCGGGGCGAGCATGTGAGTGCCCTCTCACACAAAACACAACAACAACCAGGAGTTATTCTTTGCTTGCACTAGAGCAGGATAAATGAAAGAGCACTCGTCAGGGGTAACCATGGCAACCACTATGCACCCACGTAAGCATTCCATCAGCCATCCTTGTTGTTCTCAGCAGGAGGAAACACACTGAGGGACAGCTGTCCAGCACTGAGCCTCCTCGGTCTGTTTTTTACTGAAACATCATGGCAGACGTGACGAGACATCGTTGTTTAACGCAGTCACTAAACTATGCAGCAATTTGTCTCCAATCTTCAATAACTACCAAATATTTCGGGTAAAAAAATTACATTCCTTCTGGTTTATACCAAGAAAATGGATAATATTGCAAAACTAAATCTCACAGCAGTGATCTAGACTTTCTTGCAGCTACAAGTTATGGTTCCTGCT